TTGGTATTTGGATGAAATGGTTTAAATAGAAGAGAGCAGCAGTTTTACTTAGTTTTTATAAACATTCCTTTGACTATTTATAGCCGAATTCCAACTTATTACTTTTTCTAAAAAATTTCTTTCTAATAAAAGATCTACGATTTTTTATCATTTACAATATTCCAGATTTTTGTTTAGTACAAAATTAATCACATGCTAAAAACTAGAAAAAGGTAGCTTAGATGTCTTCATAACCTTTATCTTGAAGATTGTTGAAGGAAAAAAAATAAATAAATAAAGGGGCAATTGCGTTAAACTGTCAACCAAGTTAGAAAGCTTTAAATTAAAAATCTAGGAGGGCTCTATTCTCAGTGAACTAAAGTCAAAATTCTCAAACTTTTAATTTTATTTTTTTCAAAAAAATCAAGCATGATAATCAAATGTTCAAATTTTGTTCCTCCCTTTTTATTTAGTATGAAATTATGTTTGTTGATGAATTAATAAATAAATTAAATAGATTGGAGGATTATTAAAATTAATAGTTACTATCACTAATTTATTTCTGGAAAAGAAATAGGACAATCATTATCCAATTCAGACACAATATTATTCTGTTTTTACTCCCTTGACCAGAGACAAATTTTGATGACTTCATAACCGGTCACGATTTTAAAACACGTTATGTCATAAAAAAGTGTTGAATTTACGTATAATACTTACTCTATTCACACTAGACAGTGTATAATTATACACTTATAATTCGCCAAGTATAATAATTTATTTGTGCGACTTGCACGCACTCACATATACCCGCCCCGCAAATTCACCAAATCCATACCACACTATCTATGATTGTTGTTTATTATATTAGCACATGTCCCCATATTCATATTTACATTAATTTAACCATACAAATAAAAAAATGCAACCTTTTAAGAAGTAAAAATAAAAACTAGCTACAACTAGTATGTTACAATTGTTTACTCCATGACAGTCTCAGACGGCGTGTCTTTCTAAAATTATCGAAGAGACGAGTATAGTATAGTATAGTATAAGAATAGAAATTTAAACATAGTCTCTCTCTCACTTTACTTTGTGCAGTAGAAGAAATAGGTTGACCTATATGATCAGATCAAAACCAAATCTTTCGTACATTTGATTTTGTAATTAATGGGATTCTTTTGCCTACTTTTTAGGCATGCAAGCCCTAGGTCCCTTGTGCCAGGTCTACACTACAATCCCCTAACCGTGACTAGCTCACTCCACCATGCCCCTTGGTCTGTTTGATAAATGTGCAAATTTTATTTTATTTTATTATTATTTTTTTTTTTATGACTGCTCATTTTGAACATCCAATTCACTATAAATAAGATGAAGCTATTATTCTTTTTTTGAGGTGGTTGCACGAAATGGGATTTTATAAATCATTGGGGAGTTCAAAGTGGATAACAGGTAGGTTGATATTTCATTATCCAAAAGAAAAAAATGACTTATAAATTAAACATAAATTTCTTATGATTTGTTATAGGATCTTCCTTATGATTTGAAAAATTATTCGAACATTTCCTAAAATAAAATTAACTTACACGGATCTCTTTTTTTGAAAGTCAAAGTTAGTTAATAACAAATTTTGCTCATGTCATATACTTAATTAATTAAAATACCCATAATACCCTTATTCCTACCATTTTATAACATAATTGTTGCTTCACAATGTGAGGGTATTTCGATAAATTAGATAAGTCTGCTAGTGCATTTGACGATCCGTCACACAGAATGGAGGTCTATATAAATTAATTTTATTTTTTGCAGAGGTCCGAGTAATTTCTCAAACCATAGAGTTGGTTCCTGTAATTATGACAAATTATAGAAAAAGTCCGTGTAATTTACTTTAAAAAGTAGAGACATACGCTAAACATAATATAAAGATTTACCTAATTTTACGGTAAAGATTAGCGAATTCCAAGTTATCGGTAAAGATTAACGAATTCCTTTGTCTCTCGTACTATCTATTATTATTGTTTTCGAGCATCCAACCATTTTCGGTATGTTCTCTCTTCCACACGATCAACCCTAGCAACCCTTATATATTGAATTACACAACATAGACTATATTCCGAATCTTCTCTCTCTTCCACGCTACGAACTCTAACACCCTTATACATTGAATTACAACATAGAGTAGATTCCATAACACAAAAACAAGTCCCTTTTTACAGTAATAAAATTCGGACATTATTGTAAGAACGGCATTCATCCAAATGATCCAAAACAACTCTTTCAACTTAACTATGTGAAGTTGAACAAAATTGTCCATCTATACCTACAATAAAAAAAAAAAAGGAAAGTGGGATTAGTGTCCAAATATATCACATCTACCAAGAAGCACATACAAAATGACCAATGGTACTACAAAACTTCACCATACTTATTTCCCCTGGATCTGTTTCAGGAAAGGGATAACGGATCAAAAGAGTAGTAAATGTGAGCATCAGCCTACAAGTGTAGGCTTCATGTTGTTTTGCTGTGTGTGTGTGTATATATATATATATATATATATATTGTATATATTTGGCTGTATATTGTTGAAAGTATTTTGAAGTAGGCAAGAAGTAGGTCTGACCACAATTCCAGGGGAGGCAGCTGACTTGAGCCCCAACGGGAGGGAAGTCCCAAATGCTGAGAAATGGAGAGACCTTCAACAACTGTTAGGTAAATAGGTAAATCTTAGATCGCATTTTCAAACTGCTTTTATTTCGTTTCCAAATAGAGTAAGGTCCACTAATAAATGCTACAAAAAAAGTACTTCCAATTTCATAAACACAGGGCATAAACTTGGTTACAGTAGCACAATTTCTCAAAGATACAGTGCTTTTAATGCACATTACTATCCTTCACTGCTTTTCCAGGCTCGAAAAATAAATAATTACATAATTCTGGCCAAACACACAAAATCATGTAAGCAAAAAGTTACAAAAAATTAAAAAAAAAAAAAAAAAAGAAGACACAATTTGGTACAGGAATGTTTTCATAACTCCTTGATTAGGTTGTTTCCGTTATTTTAGTGAGTTCGGTTTCAAGTTTTCGCACCTATAAATATTTAATCTAACGTTCTTATTATGAAAAAAAAAATAGATCGGTAATTGTATGCGATCGGCCGAAACTTCATAAATTTCTCTAAATAATACAGGTTATATAAAAAGCCGCGTTCATTGTTTGAATGATTATTAATTAACATCAAATGATAACCTATTATGGAGGATGAACCTTTTTCAGCCATAGATGGAGTTTTTGTAGTTGCAAGAATCTTCTCCATCAAGGTGAGACCCACATGAATCAGCATCCGATGGCTGAAAAATATTCTTTGCTAATTGATCGTTTTCCTCAACAATATTTAGATGACTTACTCTATAATTCGTGAATAAATTAACTTTCCATTAGTGCATTTCTTTCTTTTCTTTTCTTTTCTTTTTTTAACCAAAGTGCATTTCTTTTATGTCTATATAAAAAATAAAAAATAAAAATAAAAGAGAGTTAGAAAAGGCAGAAGATTTTTTAAAATCACAGTTTAAATCATCTCTACATGATTCTTAAAGGAATTCATTTGCGTTCTTAATAATCATAATTCGTTCTTTTTTAAAAAAAAATCAATCCATTATCCTTATTTTCAATGGACCGCATTTAAATACTTAATTCCTTAAAATTTAGAATATGGTTGCTCAAATGCTTCAAAAAAAAATAATTTTATTTTTGTGTCTTGGGTAAGCAAATGCTTTAAATTACTACGGAGTACTTTTCACGTAACGTGTTATCTCCTTGAAAAAACAATACTATCTTAATTTGATTGTTTCATGAGATGCAAAATATGCATAGTAAATTTTCTATTCCAATAAAATGGATTTTATCAAAAAATAAAATAAAATAAAAATTTGAAATAAGAAGATGATCAATTGATGTTCAACAAAATCAGACACCCTGAAATCGCAGGGATGGTAGAGAATTCTGAGAAAAAATCAAGTACCAAAATTGGAATATTATGCTTGGAGCTATCCAATCGTTCAGAGATGACACACACAGAGACCCGTACATTTGGGTCTGAGCAAGCAGACACAAGAAGCTCCCAAAAAGAGAACAAGGTCAAAAAGAAGAACCGGACCAGCCTCCTTTCTTCTTTTTCTCTTTTTTCTTGTTTTGGCCTTAGTGTGTGTGTGTGTGTGTGACTGTGTGAGATAGAAACCAGCCAGGCTAGGCCAGCAAAGAAAGAGGGTCGACCCCACCCACCCCTAGAGCCCAAAGGCCAACCACTGCCACGGACTTTGACCTCTACACGATCCCCGATGAGGCAATGGTGTACTCAGATTTACAACATTGCCCTTCTTGCACAAGTTGGGTTTCCGCCACGTGGACGGTTGATTTTCCAGCAATATTTGAATGTTGAGGGGACCAGATTAACGTCTACGTGGCTTTTTTTTTTTTTTTTTTTTTTTGTGTGTGTGTGTTTTCGCTAGTAAAGATGCAAGTAAAAATTATTTTTCAATAGAGAGAGAAAGTGAGCAAAAAAACAAACAGAAACGAGAAACACCCAACTCATCTTTCTCGTGCTTTCTCTACTTTTCATGTGCTTAACACTTCCTGCCCCAATGCCACTCTTTCACTGCAAAAGAAAAGTCATGAGACCCCCTCTCTCCTCTCTAAATACTATTACACACACAAAACACACACACAGAGGAAGACAGGAGGACCACGACATTTATACACAAAATCAGATAAATGTGATAGAGATCTTCTTGGTGCATTGTTGTTGTAAGAACGATTTTAGAAAACATAGATCCCACAACAAATTCATAATTCCATAACCTATCCCCAACCCTTTTTTCTTTTATAAGCTGTACACTTTACTTATTCCAAGCCTCCACCCATTTTTAAATCTCTTCACTCAGGAAACATTAGCTCTTTTCCCTATGTACCTATCTTTCAAATCTTCACATTCCTTGAATTCTTGGTCCCCACAAAAATTCCAAAAAAAAAAAAAAATTACATAAAATCCAATTTTTCCCTCCCACGTAGAATGTACAAAGAACTTACCACCCCTTTCAACACAACAGCTGATCAACAAAATTCAGCCATGAGTGCGCACACCCACAACCCGCCACCGCCAATCTGACCCACCACCGCGCATTTGCAATGCATCCATCTGACTTTAACAAAGTATTGTTCAAGTCAGCACCTAGAGCTCAATGATTCCAGGCATGAAGAGTGGGAATCCAGGTTCGGTAGATGAATTTTTGTAAACCAACAGCTCTTTTCGCTGCTATCTGTCTTCTACAAAGATTCTTCCTATGAAATCACGAAACCTCTTTGAGTACAGCTTAGGATCGACCGCTGAGATTGAGGTTGAGTTAACTTGAAAGGATTTGTATGCATGTTCTAGCTTCTTGCTGATGTCGTAGTCTTGCAAAATGTCAATGATCCCAAAGTAGAGGACCACTTCGCGTACTTCACCGTTGTTGCGGGAAGGGATCAAATTATTAAATCCGCCTAGGGTGTACTGATCGAAATCGCTCCTTCGAACCACCTGCTCTGCCCTTGCTGGCATGTTGGCACCCAACCTGATCAACGGTTTCCTGAGATATTGAACAGAAGTAAAATTCAAATTTACACAATACAATGCTAATCCAAATAAATAGCAAAATTTCATCTGCTCCGTGAATCCAACAAGACAATAGTCGATAAAAAGCTCAGAAACGAAGAGAGCCACATAACTGGCGCTATCATCTGAAATCATAACAATTTTCATATCTATATCTATTTCTTCCCCATGTAACCTTATTTACAAAATTGAAACTACAGAAGAGAATTATATATGAGATAGTATTAATTCAATCAAATGCCATAAAGAGAAAAAAGAACAAAAGAACCACCCTCAGCCATGTGATGACTTTGAATCTTGGGCATGGTAAATTCGAGGTCCATATGGTGATCTGGTCATACAGAATGACATTCAACATTCATCCCCAACAGGTCAACAAGTGATGGGAGTTGGGACAAGTATCATACAAAGCCATGCTCTATCTCAGATAAGGAATGGTGCCACAGCCCAGATGTGCCCCACAAACAACTGTTGTCTACCGAACTAACTCCACATCCCCTCAACAATAAAAGCCACTTTCAATTATTCCAACCAATATGATTACTTATTAAAAAAAAAAATGATCAAATTCATTGAAAGAAATTATTAATGACCTTGACACCATCCAAATTAGATAGATAAGCCTCAACCAAATGTCTTTTCATAATCATTTGGTTAGGTGCAAAAAACAATTTAGATCAAAATTCTTAGATATGCATATATGGAAAGAAAATCCCATCGACAGCTACTATCTTCAGCTAATGTTTGCATTCCACAGCAATACTAGGACACTAGCTCAAAACAAAGAGAACAATAAAACAGGAGTAAATCATACCGGCCAGATAGAATCCGATCCATGTTTTGTAGCTCTGCCTCAAGGAAGCGACAGCCACGCATAAACTTCTCATTTTGATAAGACCCCCCTTTGCCTGGAAAGGAGAACAGGCATAAATCAACTTTCTTATTGTCCCACAAATTTATTACTGGCGAGTGATGATATGATCAAATACCTGTCCGCAACAGATATGGTGACAAACCCAATTTGTCAACTCTACTGTCATCACGGAAGTGAAGACCAACTAAAAGACTATAATCCATGATTCTCTCTGCTTCCAAAAATTCACAATCTCGATCAATTTGTCTGTAGACATTCAAGAATATTATGAGCAATGCCAGAAGAATAAAATAGAATAATAAGTTATGAGGGCCAAATGCATAAAAAACTAGAGAGATTTCTTTAAACTGACTTGATAAGTTCTTGGAACCAGTTGCGCTGGAGACGAAACACGAAGTTGAGATCAAGGTCCTTAAGGGTAGTGGTTTCGTCAATCTCCTCCTCAGGCTTATCTGTCGTGCGGCCGTGGGATGATCCTTTAAGGTCAAATCGTCTATGGATTCGATATTCCGAGCAGAATAAGTTGCCCATTACAATGAATCGTGTCTGGTTTCAATTACACAAAATTTAAATAGACTCATTGGCAAATGTCACTAATGATGAATCCACTTGAATAGAAGAAATAAATCAAATTTCACTCTCCCAGGATGTACCTTAAGGCCACCCACCGGTTTGACACAATGGACACCAAAGAATTTGGTAACGAGTGAATTCTCATACCGACAAACATGTTGGTAGTAATTTGGAAGCATCTTAATCAGCACCTGAAAGTGTATTAGCAAACTTCAATCCCTAAAACTAATTGATGGCATTTCCAATGCGTTGTCAAAATAAAAAAAGTTGTATGGAAGCAAATAAAGAAGCATTTCAAAGCTTTGTCACTACAGCTATCTTTATGAATTTGAATTATCCCTTTTCTGAAATTTCACAGCATGAAGTCAAAAGAAGTAGGCAACTAACCTTGACTTCTGATTTCTTCACTGTTTTTATCATAAATCTATCATCCTGAGTGAGGTAAAAGAAGCTTCCACTCTTCCCAGGAGAAGAAAGCTCCCTAAGAGCATCATTTCCACACACAGCTAGCATGTAATCAGCAGGATCTACTTGAAATAGCTCCCTCAACTGTCTGAATACCATATAATCAATCAATAATCCCAACCACAGTAATCTATACAGACCAAAATTTCTAGCTCAACATGATTAAACACCCGATAAAGAACACAATTCGAATCATAAAGCATTTCAAAAGAATTAATACCTAAACACCACAGGACAATAATCTTTCCACCGGAACTCCACCGATTGATGGGGCGGAGTAATCTTTGATCCCTCCGACGGAAACCTAGTCCAGAACTTCTCCCTCGGATCAAAATCACTAGGCATAAGCTCCCGCAAAATCGAGGCATGCTTCCCAACTGTATACCTACAACAATTATCAACTCCAATGATGAAAAAAGAACCAAGGAAAAAAAATGCAATGAGTCGACCAAGTCGCAAACCCCATTCAACAAATTGTATGCCTACAACAATCATCAACTCCAACGATCAAAAAAAAAAATTATTGCAATGAATCAGTCACAAACCCATTCAACAAAATGCAATTACCTAATACCCAGTTGGAGATTCAGCATCAAATCGTAATTTTTATGCCCTTTTGATATCGTCTGACCAGGTTTCTTCACCTCGTCGGTAAAACATGGACTGCTAGAAAAGTGCTTAAACCCATCTCGATCCAACCTCGCACCATCCCTGTACAACATTGAGGCCTCCACATTATCGATTATATCGCAAGTAATATCCCCAGCTTCACCATCTGATTCCCATATACAAATTCGAGGAAAAGCCCTCTCCGCCAAGCTCTGCCGCGACCCATCCACCGACGACCTCTTCTTCGCCGCCGGTGCCACCAACCCACAATCCTCATCCATCAACGAAGACGAAATCTTGTGACTAAAAGTGGCACATTGGTCATTTTCGTTCCCAATGTTGCCTCCGCTAGAAAACCTCCCATTGAGAACCTGTTGTTGGGTCATTTCTTGATTCTCTTTGCTCCAACTGCCTACGTAGCAACTACTCACAGGCCATGTTAACAAACACTGACCTTTGGGCACACCATTTTCCCAATTCCCATCGTATCGATTTCCGTTTGCCCAAATCAGCAATCCTTTGCCGTTGATCACCCCATTCCGCCACTCACCCACATACTCATTCCCGTTCTTCCACACGTACCGGCCTTGGCCATCCTGGAGGTTTCGCCGCCACGAGCCGTCGTAGTAGTCGCCGTTGGCGTACCACTTCTGGCCGTACCCGTGCTTCCGATCCGCTGACCAGTACCCACGGTAGGTGTCCCCGTCGGAGCCGATGAATGTCCCGAACCCCTCCATCCGACCCGACTTGAACTCGCCCTCGTACGTCGCCCCCGACGGCCATGAGAACTTCCCTTTCCCGGAGGCCTTCCCTCTCTTCCACTCCCCCTCGTACATACACCCATCGGTCCATAGATACTTACCCGATCCGTGAGGCACGTTTCCCGAGAACCCTCCGGTGTAAAGATCCCCGTTCGGAAGGAGCTTCTCGTCGGCGGTCCTGGCGTCAGATGTGGTGGATATGGTGGGTGTCACTCTGCGGGTAGTTGCTTGGTAACGGTGGCCACGGCCGATGGGTGCAACCGGTGAAACCACCACCTGTTTGATCTCTGTCTCTACAGCTTTCTCTCTCTGTTCTTCCGATTTCTTCTTCTTGGCGATGCTTTCTTCGTCAAATGAAGCAATTGGTTCTGGCATTTTTCTGGGTTTTTGCAGTTGTTTCTCTCACAGTCGCCGGAAATGAGCCGGATTCATCAGCATTTTCCGGCAATTGTTTCCGTAGACTGTTTATACTCTCTCTATATATATATAAATATTCTCTGAAACTTGTTTCTATACAGTTCTCAAATGCCTTGTAATTGGGAAAATTGGTAAGAGCCTAAAGAGGAGAGGTGAGTCAATTTGAGAGAGGGAGAAAGCGAGAGGGAGAGAGTGAAAAAACTGAAAAAGGTAAAGAAAGATAGTGAGTGAGGAGAGAGAGAGCTTTTTGGGGTCTTGGGGGGCAAAGCGAGGGAAGTTATGAGCCGGCATTGGATATTGGTACAGTACAAGTAATGTAGCAACAGCTGACCTTTTTCTTTTTCTTTTTTCTTTTTTTTTTAAATAAAAAAAGTGTTATGACGAATATGCCCTTGATTTTGCTATTGAATTTCGTAGTTTCAGTTTGCATAACAAACAACTGTGGTATATGTCTGGTCTCATCGTGACGTGACGAGATCGCCTAGGCAGTGAAAGGTCATGAATTTGTAATTTTACAAACTTAGTTGCCCATATATCACACTTTATTTACAAAATGTGCCATTATTTCATTTTTTTTTGAATGGTCAAATACTCAAAGAACAAAAAATATATATGGTTATATTATTGAGTTTTTAATACTTTTATATGATTGGATATATTATTAGAGTACGAGACAAGTCACTTTGAACCCAAAAAAAAAAAAAAATTTGACTTTATCTTTTATTCTTAGCATTACATATGTATCACATGAGATGATTAATGTAGGACTGTCACAATGCAAATAGAATATACTCCTTTTCGGTGGTGTTCTTTAAATATGGTATTAAAGAGTTGAAATAAATAGCTAAAAATGAAGCAAAGGCTATTAAATTAAACCATCAACAAATTAATGGTTGATGAGATTTTATGGAATAATTGAAAGGTATGTACCCCATATAGTTCTCAATAAAAAAAGCATATAATAAATTAAGTGTAGGGGTCAAACAGAAACATGCACACATGTTTATAAAACACGGTCATTTATAGAAAAATAATTTTTAAAAAAAAATAAGAAAAGAAAAGAAAAACTTCTCCTTACTATATAATTTTAAAATGTCATTCAATTTTATATTACCTTGTTCATATGATTTTATTAATATTCTCTTGCAAATCTTCTTTTTTGAAATTTATTTATTTCTTGAATAGGGAACGCTGTAATTTTCTTCGTCTTTTAAAGCAGAAACATTCAGATTAGGCGTGGCCTATATGATGAATAATTCATACCATAGAATTGTATTATAGAATGTATTTGACCAATGATTGTATTTTCTATTTTTCCCAAAAAAAAAAAAAAGAGGCACAAACTTTTATTTATATGGATTATGAAATTTTGAGTAATTGGTAAGGATTGAAAATCTGTCTTCTTTGGTGGGTGTTTATTTATGATTATTGCTTGCCATATGTGGGTTGTGGCTTCATGAAGATCTCTTAACTTATTTACAAAAATAATAGTATATGATATTTTTGGTAGGTGAGTTTATTTGACTATTGCAGTTTGGTTGTCACATATTAAATGAACTAGTTTCGAATCAAATCTTAATTAGCAAAGTTTCACCTTTATTACCAAGCAAATGGAAACATTTTAATCTTTGTATTCAAGCTTTGGAAATGGTGGTCTATGATTTAATCTTAAAGACAGGTAAAAAAAAATAAAAATAATCATGGAGACATGGACTTGTTTTACCTTGTGTGGCCCACTTTATGACCCGGTGATGTAATGAATTCTCTTAGTGGAAAAGTAACTATTACCCCAAATTTTCAATAAACAATACTTGAAAGTTGCATACAAAGATAATATCAAATAATGATGATAGGATCGTATGTATTTATTTTAAAATTTTAAAAAAATAATTAAGATTTTTTTAGTTATTTTATATTTAAAAAATTACAAATTTTTTTACTTATTTTATATTTAAAAAACTAGAATTCTCAAAAGTATAACAGTATTAACAGAAATTTGAAAAGCGTCTCACTTTCGGACCGCATTTCTAACTTAAATAATAAAAATTACACCCACCATCTTTTCATTATATAAGGTCAGTGATTTGGAAAAGCTTAATCTTTACATGTAACTATTACTCATTTTGAATTTTGCACAAAAAGACATATATTTGGAATTGTTACATTTAAATATAATCAATATTTCTTGTCTAATGTCTTATCCAAGTTTTTATCCTTTTGGGTAAAAATTGCCAACTCAAAATTTTATTATAAAGTTATCCTCACCTACAATCATAACCTAATTTACAAATTTCAGACATACGTATTGCTTTCTAAACTTTATTATAAAGTTAGCCACATTATTGTATTCTAGTTCGCACAAGTGTGGACCTACTCATTCTTCATTTTACATCTTTTATATTTTGCTCCTTAATGGTGCACCCAATCATACACGAATTGACTAACAATTTGTGCCAAAATAATAATAGATAATGATGCAACTTAAAAAAAATAATAGTCTAGATTGAAATTTTTTGATTATTACTCTTGATAATAAAAATTAATTATGTATCATTTACTAGAGTACTATATAAATAGTACTAAATAGTTTTGTAACAGTAATAAAAAAAATAAAAATAATAATGTTAACACTGGCTGACAACTCGCACGGATTAATTCAGGTAGAGACATGAGATAGATGTTCTAGAGGAGGAGATTTCTAATTCCACACTCAAAATGAGTATCCAAGGTAACACTCTTCTTAAATTATTTGTAATTTACTTGGAATTAATGTTCGAGTCTCGTAATAAAATAAATAAATAAAAGAAGAAGACGGTAGCTGACAAGATTAGACCAGTTTCAAAGAAGCTTGAATCATAATTCAAAGTTAGTAACGTCAATCACGTGTTGCTACATTTTATCGTACGTGGGTAGAAAATTTTATTCCGATTAACAAATCTTGTTATTGTCAAATTTGTCTTGGCCTATCTATCTTTTCTATTAAATTTCTTGGGTTATGAGAAACAGAAGATAAAAAGTACAAATCCCTATTCCCTACACGTACTTGGTGTTGTATTCTTGTGATGTTCGACTCTCGACCTTCAAATTAGGCATTGATGGACTCTTAAAATGATAGTTAATGACGTATTTAATTAAACTGATTTATTATTATTTTTTTACAATACCTAGTCCTACGGCAATGAAAATGTACAAAATCATCTAAATCGTTGACATTATCAATAAATGGACATGTCATATTTAATTATATCAAATCAAATATAGTGGAATATATGCTCATTTATCAAATCAAAGGTTGTGGTTTAATTTAAGTCAAATAAAACGAGAGTTGAAGTGAGAGCAAATTTAAGAATGGAAGAGTGAGAGTGATAAAATTAAGTCATAAATAGTGACAATTTGAGACAGAACGTGTGTGAAGCGTGAAAGCGACACTCGTTAAGAATGATTATATGACTTAAATCAAGTGTTAAGAATGATTATATGACTTAAAACTTGATTATTATATCTGATTTAATAATTAAAATAGTACGAATTCATTTGTTTTTGGTCTATGTCAACGGTCAGAGTAAGTATTATTATTATTGCACTAATTTCTCTGATATTACATGTATTAATTAATGCTAAGTTCACTGTAACAAAACATTCTTTGATTCGGTATTATCTCTCAATCATTTGAAAGTCCAACATAAAAATAGAAGTGGATATAATGGGACCTTTGACTGCTCATTTATTGTTTTCTCTAAATTGACAAATATGAACTGATTAATGCTTTGATTAGTAGTCATTAACTTATTATACATACAAATCAATTACTAAGTCCAAATAATACTCATCACCTACTTCCTTAATTGCAAAACTCTGTAACTTATTTGAGAAGAAATTGAGTAGAGTAATATTTAGTACTCCATTATTTATAGATAGGTTTGTCAACGGATCAAATTTGGATCGGATCGATCAAATCTATATTCAATTTGTTAAGCAAATGAATTATTGGATTCGGATCACTAATGGGTTATCGGGTTAAATATCCCAACTCATATCTTATTTAGCTCAAACTCGGATCGTATCGGATTCGAATTCGGATTAAAATCATATTTATTAACATATATAATTATAAAGTTAGATGAAGTGAAAAATTGCTAATATACCGAATGCAACATAATATAATTATGTAACCAAATAAATATAATGATAAATAATTAATATATACAAATTTAGTAATATATAACATTGATATAAGTATATTATAAATTATTTATTCTTTGTTAATGAATAAAAAGTATGATATTATTAATATGTATATTAAGAAATTTATTAGCATGTGGATGAGAATACCACACTATTATATATGATATTATTAGTATGTATATTATGATTTTTTTTTTTGAATTTTTTGGTTACCTTTAATACAATTTTAATAGGAGTATTGATATATATATATATATCTGTAAAATTATTGATAAACAATTATATATATATATATAATCATTTATATATATAATTTTAATCGGATTGGATTGGATTATTAACGGATCGGATCAGCATAATTTATATCCGATATATATATATTATTTTAATCGGATCGGATCGGATTATTAACGGATCATATCAGCATAATTTATATCCGATTTGTTAAGCTAACGGATTATCGGATTCGAATTATAATCGGATTATCGAATTTTTTGTTCAATTCATATCCGACTAATCGGATCGGATTCGGATCAAATCGGATCCGTTCCATTGACAAGTCTATTTATAGAAGCATAAATTCAACTTTTTTATGTTTTTGTGTTTATGTCGGATTATTATCTCAATCATTTGAAAGTCTGACATAAACATAGACGCAACTGTTGGTTTTTTTATTTTTGGAATGTGTAATGTAGTGAAGCAAAATATGGAAATGTGTTTAGTATGTTTGCTACAATTTGAATTGTACCAAAATTGTAGCAAAATGTTTATGAAAAAGAGACCAAAAATAAAAGCACCAAATTGGTGTTTTTGATTGTTTCCACACTGGAGCTAAAACACCATGGCAATGTATAGAACAGACCAAAAATAAAAATAAAAAACTCACATTTTTAACTAGTCATTTTATTTTTTCAAATTTGTAATGCTTTTTTATTTTATTTTTTATCAAACATTCATGTTTTTGCTTCAAAAATAATGTCTTTCATTTTATTTTTCAAACTTGTAACTCTTAGTCTTAGATCACAACTTTTTTACCAAAAGTCTGAATTGATTTTTATTATTGATGGTTGAAGTAAATATTTAAAAGGATAGAGACTATATGTTATCTATTACTACATTGTAAGGCTTAGAAAATTTATTACATGTTATTTCGGACCAATCAACAAACAAAT